GAAGGCAGTCGCTTAACCAACTGAGCCACCCAGGCGCCCCCACCTCTACATCTTTCACTCATTTCCTGTTCAGATGTCCCGAGAGGGCACGCCCAATAATAAGATATGGTTTTTAGGGCTAGGCCAATTCTCTGACCAGACAGAGTTTTATTAGGGGTTACTATGTTTTATTAGGAATTATTTATGGATGTTTCCCAAAACGTGAACTTCAGAAATCATTTCCCACATGCCTTCAAAAAGAACTCTAATCATACCTGAAGTGTATAACCACATTCATTGCTTGCCTTTACTATTGCATAAAGTCCTCCATGCTTTAGAAACAGAAGAGCCAAGGCAGAAACAGCTAATTACCAATACTGTCTCCTATTGACCTGTTTTCTAATCCATCACACAGATTCTGCTTGCAACCCTGGTATCTCTCATGCCTCGCCCCTTCTGCTTTGTACCATCTCCTATCAAGCTCTTCTTCAGCCTCTGAAGCCTCACTCAAAAGAGCTGAGTGAGGCAATGACAGCATCATTTAAGAGGGCACACGGAACCTGTGTCGTAAATGCACCCCGAAGTCCTTGGTGCTAAGGGAGGAATTAGGTCTACCGGCTTCTCTACCCATTATCCAAATTATAAAACACTAGGAACTAAGAAGTGGATGCAGGGAGAGGTGCTGCTTTGACTCAATTCTTTTAAAAATATTATTTATTTATTTGAGAGAGAGAGATAGAGAGAGAGCGCATGAGGGCAGAGGGGTGGCGGGGGGCAGAGGGAAAAGCAGATTCCCCAATGAGCAGGAAGCCCGATGCTGGGCTCAATCTTGGGACTCCAGGATCATGACCTGAGCCAAAGGCAGACACTTAACCGATTAAGCCACCCAGGCATCCCTTGACTAAATTCTGAATTCCATGTCCTTTTTCCTGGAGATCCCCTTTGAGCATTAGAGCTTTGGTCAAGAGAGTCACCAAGTTGATAAGAAAAGGGTTCATGTGGTGATCGGGAAAAGTACACAGTGGGTATCAGAAAGCCCCCCACCTCTACACTTCAAGTTTCATTAATAAATATGTTCAAGGGCAGACATAGGTTTCCTTCCCTACTAAAAAATAAAATTGATTCTGGTTGAATTTTCTCCCCATTTATTTTATTTTATTAAGATTTTATTTATTCATTTGACAGAGAGAGAGAGCACAACCAGGGGGAGCAGCAGAGGGAGAAGCAGGCTCCCCGCTGAGCAGGGAGCCCGATGTGGGACTCGACCCCAGGACCCCGGGATCATGACCTGAGCCGAAGGCAGATGCTTAACTGACTGAGCCACCCAGGCGCCCCTCCCCATTTATTTTAATTTGGTTGTCAAGCTTTACATTTAAGGTACATCGCCTGGAAGCTAGGACCTAGGCTGCAAGCAGACTGTCTGAATTTCCTTTCATGATAAGCAGAACTCCCTGAAGACCCCTGCCTGTGCCAGACAAGCTTTTCAAAAGAGTGAGAATGAAAGAAAAAAAAAAAAAGCCAAATGCACTACCGAAGATTACGCTATATGCTCTATTCCCAAGAATGATACAAAAGCGGTGTCAGCTTGCTGGCTGCAAATAACACCTACCCTGTGCTGCACTCTTAGGGACACAGCATAGCCTGCATTACGAAAAAGGTCTACAGCATCTTGGTGCAGCAAGTTCCTTAGGTCTTGGCCATTTACCTGTCAAAAACAGCAAGAAAAGTAGTAAGAGAGGTAGAATCATAAGTCAAAGATTTATATTCATGTGACTAAACATTTAAAAACTACAGAGCAAATTCCAAGGACTAGGAGAATGGGGCAAGTACCACAGAACTCAGAGTCACTTTTTCCTAGAACTGAGGTTCCAAGGTTTAAAAAAAAAAAAAAGTAGTCTTTCCACCTCAGGTCCTGCTGCCTGTTTCATTTTGAAACTTGGGTTTCTGTTACTGTACCTGTGTGTCTTCCTTGAGCATCGGCCTGCTTCCCTACAGCTAACATGGTCTTCTGGGTTACCACCCTATCCTTTACATTGCTAATCCCTGGCACTGCTAGCTTCAACTCTAGAAATATAACTCTATGAAACAAATTTATTCTGAGGTGGTGCAAACCTACTAGCCCATTCTATTGGTCTTGTTCAATTGTGGACAATTTCCCTTGATTCCATGGATACTCCCATCCTCCACAAATTTACTAATTTTACAGTATTTCTTTGATGATACAAATTCCCAAAAAATGCTTCAGTGTAGGTCAGTCCTACCATTTAGAGGTGAGGGATGACCAGCGGTATTAATACTTCTTAGTGTCAGGAATGACACTGTCCACAAGTGATATCTACCCTACGTCATACTCAGTGACACCGCATAGCCCACTTTATGCAAGATCCACACACCTTTTGTACACATCAACATCATCAACAGCGGCAAGAACACCTCATGTATTTATCTGCTAGGTTCTGTGCTGTATGCTTTCCATACGCTGTCTAATGTTGTTGTCACGATAATCCTATGAGGTAGACACCATTTTTATCTTGTTTTCACAGATGACGAAACCGGAGCTTAGCAAGGTAGATAATTTACCCAAAGTCACAGTAAGTGTAGGAGCTAGGGGTAGTGTTTTTAAATATCGGGAGTTAAGTTACAGTGCCCTTGCAATTGACTGTTCCTTCTGCACTATTGTTCTTCCACCTGGACTCACGAACTATTCTTAGCTGAAGATCAAGCCATTGATTTATTCAAGCCTCTCATCTTCCTTGTTACTGTCTTCCTTCTCCAAGAGGTTCCTATCATTCCTCCACACAATCTCCTGCTAGGTGAATTACTCTAACAACACTTTGATGTTATAGACTGTCTACCTTACTCTTAGAAAACTGACCACGATCTCTACTCCCTTCACACTTCCTATTCCTCTACTGAATCTGCTCATTATGCTCATCAAAACCTTCAATAACCTTTTTAGATTTTACCTGCATCCTTACCCATCTAGGAGTTCTTGCTGTTATTTCAACAAAGCACTTCATAAACTATTAGAATCCCTTGTCCCCATGATCTTCTGCCATCTTTCCAGTCCTGCACAACACACTGCATTTACTTTCCTTGTCATCACTGAGTTTAATGTACCTGGGGAAAAATACACACTCATACTTTCCAGCACAGATCCATGCTGGCTGACACTTGCTGTATCCTTATGACCATTCTACTCATCTGGTCAACTCCCTAACGAATGCTCAGCAGCAGCTGTTCCAGACCTTTCCTATCATCAAACCCCAGCTCTGATCCTATCTCCTCTCTCCAGATTCCTTTGCCTTATCTTTTTTGAGAATACTGATAACTCCTCACACTCCATGTTCTTTCTTTCCCTTTCAAAGTTTCGTGATAGCCTCTCACTGCTGCTTTGCCCTTCTTTCTGCATTAGATCCATTTCCTTTACCAAGGCTAAACCACCCACTGGTGCTCTCGGTCACATTCCTTCTAGCCTTCTTAGGGAACTTAAGTGATCACTTGCTCCTCTTGATTCCTTCATTATTATTGCTCTCTGCTCTTTCTCAACTAAAATTATCCTCCTCTATAAAGAAAAAAATATAAATATTTCTTGGAACCCATTAGCAGCCTCTTCCCATCTTCTGTCCTCTTCCTTTCATTGCAAAACTTGTTGAAAGAGCTGCTTGAGAGCTCTGCCTCCACTTCTTCTGCAGCCATGCACTCTATTCCCTGAAACTGCCAGAATATACAAGGTAGCAGGCAAGAATATTCTGTCCTGCGGGGCAGCAGTGACTTCCAATCATCAAATCCTATAGCCCTTTCCTAGTCACCAGACCTCCTCCCTTTTGCAGTTCTCTCTGGTCTCAGCTTCTGAAGACTTAGCTCCCTTAGTTCTTGAAGGATTCCTTTCCCAATTCCTCTTCTTCTCCTTCCTTCTTAAGGGAAGTAAGCATTCCTCAATGTCTGTAGTCCTCTGTCCCCAAATTTTCTCTCCCATGGTGATCTTTCACAATTTCAACTGTACTCTGCAAGACAACTCCCAAATTTTTTATCCTTATTTCTACTTCTGGACTTGCCAGTTTCCTGCTGGGTGCCTGTACTGGAATATTCTGCTACACCCCAATTCAACATATCCAAAGCCTCCTTTTGATTTCCCACAAAACCAGACTATCCCACATTCCCTCTTATTGCCACAACCATTCCTTCAGACTAAAATTCTGATATTTTTAAACTCCGCTCCCTGTCGATGTTCACATACAATACCTTATCAAATCCTATAGCCCTAACATACTACCATTCCTCACATGCTATTTTCCTTCAATTGCCTCTCTCTTTAGGTGGTGGGTACTTTTAGATGAACTACTGTGTTCACCTTCTCACTGATTCACTTTCCTCTAGGCCCTCCCCCACTCTATCCTATTCAAACACTGTCTCCAGATCAAGCCTCCTAAAGGACCATTTTGTTTCTACAAAACTGGGAGCAGGGGAGAAGAGAGTGCACGCCTGATTTCTCATTCTGGTGTGCAAAGTCCTCCAGGAAGTGGCTCCAACCCACTTCCTCAATTTAATCTCACATTATTCCCTTTCATAAAGGGGATTACGAGAAAGGTCTACAGCATCTACATCACATAATTCACTGTCCCTATGACATAAAACATATATCCTTACGTTCATGTCTGTGCTCTATTTCCACCATCTGAATACACTTCCCTTTTTAAAAATTCTATGTATCTTCCAAGATTAATCTTAAACAGGATCAGCCCTGCTACCTATAGTGTAGAAGTGAATATAGTTTTCTAATTGATAGACTTTGATTTCATGCTACCAAGCCACCTTCTGATTATGCCTTTTGTTTGTTTTGGTAAACATGCCACAGGGAAAGAACTTCAGGAGTCCTAGAACCATCACAATGAATTTTCAACATCTCAACTTTCTAGTTAATCCCTGAGGGAGAGAATAGGTGTGAGATTGCTGACGATAGTGGGAAGGCTCATGTAACTCATCTAGCCCATGTGATAACTGTATTTCTCATTGAAAGGAAATAGGAATTTTCCCTTAGAGACAGACAAGTTAGGTTAATGATGCGGTCATGTCAACAAATGCCAAATATATCAGAGCTCAGTATCAGAGCCAAGTTTCATAGCGATAAGAATACAAGTGGGCGAACCGAGTCATTACATGACATTCAATGGCAGGAGTACGGAGTTCAAAATCATCTTTGCAATCACAGTCAACAATAATTGACAGGAATCACTGCATATTTATTACCATGTCTGGAGCTGTCTCTTCATTTTACATGTACTAACTTATTTAGTTTTTGCAATAATCCTATGACTTAGGAACTTCCATTTTATAGATGATAAAACCTGGAAGGTTATTCAACTTGTCCATGGGCATATAGAATGGAAGTAGCAAAGCCAGGATTCAAATAGCCTGGCTGTAAAACCTTCACTTTAAAACACCAAGCCATCGAAATTTACATTGTAAGCAAGGATTTTATTTCAGCAACATATCACTATCCATCATGTTAGTAATGTAAATTGAATTTTTACTGGTTTTGCAGTTTCATTTCTATCTAATATGTTATACACTTTCAAAATTTTAGAGATTTGTATAATATACGGTGTTTATAGTATTTTTATTCATGTGCATATATTGAAGCAGCATTAAAATTTAGATAAAATTGAGTCAAGCGCCAAGTCGTTGACAAGACCTTTCTAGATAACTCTGCTAGATGTGACTGATTTAGTTCTTTGAATCTCCATATTATGTAACTATCGTAAAGCTCAAAGTGAACTCTACCCTGTATTATATCACTTTACATTCTACTGTAAATAACTTGGAAAGGCGGTATCACAAAACTCATCATTATAACCCCTGTAATATCTGAAGAGTACTTAGAACAACACTTGAGTGTAATAAATGTCACATGATTTCCTGAGGTTTGCTTGCAGACTGCACCCTGGAAAAGCCTGATTGACATATTCTCAACATTATACCAAGCTGAAAGGCCTGGACTCCGCCAGCAGCTTTGCCTGCCAGTGACTCAATGTGTAACCTTGGTCCTCACCTGAGCCTCCTTCTGCTCATGGGGAAGAAGGACATTGGTGGTATCAGGCAAAAGAAGGTACCATACAGGGCGTAAGCCAATTACCAATCGTGCCTTTCAACCCTCCTAGTTAGCCTAAAGGTATTCTAGTATAAAAGGACTGTAACTCTAATTACTTAAAAAAAAATAAGACCCCAGACAAGAGGCCCTTGAGACAGTCAAGGGGAATTTCTTTTTTAAAGAACCATTTCTTATCCTTTGCCCAAGGTAAAAACAGCCCCATAAAACGAATTATGATTCTTTGTCTCTTGATAAGGTCACCTCTAATCCAAAGCCAAATTAGCTTTCCAATGTTTGCCTCCTCTAAGCATTTTTAGATTCTACCTCATACTGACTAACCACCAAGTTCCATAGATTTTACTCTTAAATATATGTGGAATTCACTCTTTCACCTTCCATACTAATATAGAACAGGGGTTCTCAAAGTGTGACCCAGAACCAGCAGCATTAGCATTCACCGGGGAACTTAAAAGTTAAAAGCAATCCATGCTTTCACAAGCCCTCCAAGTGACTCCAAGTGAGTCAATTCTAACCTAAACTGCCTGAACCAATCTTTAACTGGTCTCTACACCCAGCCTACTTACCCTATTTAATACAAATTCTGTGCATACACA